ATATATATATATATATATATATATAATAAATGTAAACATGTATAAAAATATATTTATAAATTTACATACATTACCATTTAAAAGATTTATAACATGTCTCTTATGTTCACAAAGGCTGCATTTATTTGATCAAAAACTAAATATTAAACTAAATAGTAATATTTTGATGAATAATAGTATTAATAATAGTATTAATTTTTTCCAAAAAAACAAAAACAAAGAAACCCTTACTGACCCCAAAGTTTTGAACGGTAGTGTATATTTATGTCTGTCTAAACTGGGTGAAAGCTGGATCAAAATGACATGCAACAGTCCAAAAGGGTCACATAAAAAATATGTGAGTGCACCTTAAACCATATGCAGTGTCTGCCTGTTAATTATTGATTTGAATGTTAATAATTTAAGTGGACTTTGTAAAGCAGAATTTGAACTTAGTGGTTCAGATGAATAGAGCTCTGGAATGAGCAAGTGTTGGTCTTTCACTCATGCATGAACAATTAAGGTAAGGTAACAATTAACAATTTAGTTGTGTTAGTTTAGTACATTAATAATTTCAGTGTAGGATAAAGCAGTATGGAAAATTAATGTACGGATGATTTCAGTGTAAAAAAATAATTTTTTTGTGAGTGCAAAGGAGGTATAACTAAAATATATTAATATTTATTTAATTTTTTTGCTCAGATACAATGAAGTCACTTTCCAACCAGTCACACTTCATTGTTGGACTATTTTTGGCATTTTCTGTTTTCACTCTGAGCTGCAGCGGAGGTAAAATTTTATTGTATCCTGTCGATGGAAGCCACTGGGTCAATATGAAAGTCCTGATAGAAGAGCTGCACTCCAGGGGCCACAGCATCACCGTGATCCGACCCAAATCCAGCTGGTACATCACGGAAAAGTCCCCTTTCTACACTTCCATCACAATCGCAGATGAAATAAGCAAATCTGATAACTTTTTTGAAGAGTATTTATGGAAAGTGATCGAGATAGAAAGAGGCGACGCTTCTGGACTGTCATTCTTGAAGCTCCAGGTCGATTTGTTCTCCATGTTGTCAAAAGCACACTATATTATATGTAAAATGGTATCGGCCATTTTGGAAGATAAGATGCTTGTGAAAAGACTTCAGGATGAGCGGTACGACCTGGTGCTCACCGATCCTGCATTAGCAGGCGGCGTGATTTTAGCGCATTATCTAAAACTCCCTCTTGTTCTCAATGTACGCTGGATCACAACTGGTGAAGGACATTTTGCTATAGCACCATCTCCAATGTCTTATGTACCTTTACTAGGCTCTGGCCATACAGATAAAATGAGTTTCTCTCAAAGGGTTAAAAATGTTTTATTTCAGAGCTTTACTTTCTTCCAGGACAGATTTGTGGTTGGTCCACATTATGATGCGCTAATAGATAAGTATTTGGATAACAAAACGGACATTGTTAGCCTCATTCAAGCTGCTGATATTTGGCTCATGAGGACTGATTTTGTCTTTGAGTTCCCGAGACCAACCATGCCAAATGTTGTTTACATGGGTGGATTTCAGTGCAAACCCTCCAAGCCTCTTCCTGCAAATCTGGAAGCATTTGTGCAGAGCTCAGGAGACCACGGCTTTATTATTATGTCATTGGGAACACTTGTTAAAAGTATCCCTGCTGACATGGCTAATGATATTGCAGCCACTTTTGCTAGTTTACCTCAGAAAGTCATCTGGAGACATCTTGGAGATCGGCCGTCCACTGTGGGCAACAACACTCTTATCGTGGACTGGATACCACAGAACGACCTCCTGGGACATTCCAAGATCAAAGCGTTTGTAGCCCACGGAGGAACCAATGGAGTGCAGGAAGCCATATACCATGGGGTCCCGATCCTGGGCGTCCCTTTGTTCTTCGACCAGTTTGACAACTTAATACGCATTCAGGAGAAAGGAGCGGGTAAGATACTTAAGTTGTCAGAGTTCAGCAGTCGTACTTTTGGACAAGCCCTACGGGAACTGCTCAGTAACGCCTCCTACAGGACGAACATGCAGAGACTCTCTAGTCTTCACAGGGACCAGCCGATGAGGCCTTTGGACTCGGCCGTTTTCTGGATCGAGTATGTGATGAGAAATAAAGGAGCGACTCACCTGCGCTCAGAGTTCTACAAGATGCCGTGGTACTCATACCATTCTGTGGATGTCTTGTTGGTTCTCTTCACTGTTGTTGTTGTGTTTGTGTTTTCTGTGGTTGCAATAATCAGATATGTGTGTTATAAAACGTGCTGTAAGCGAAAAAAAAAAAATTAATGATGCTATCTAGATTTTTATACTCAGATTTGCATGCAAAAACAAAATAACTGGGAATAGGTAAAGAATTTACTCAAATGCTTTGATAATTTGAACAATAAATACATTTTCTTTTTTTAAAAGGTGTGTTTCCTTTTAATCAATAACTGGCTTTAATTATATATTGAACAACAGCACTGATACAAAAAATGTGGAAACATATTTAAAGGGGTCATACAATGCTACATGCACTTTTACAAGTTGTTTGAACTGAAATGTGTGTTGGCAGTGTGTGTACACAACCACCCTAAAATGATAAAAATCCACCCAGTGGTTTTTTGTTAATCTACTAAAATCTTTACCCCTTTCTCAAATCGAGCCGATCTCAGATGCCTGTCTGTGTGACGTCACACAGAGAGGCCCCTCCCATGATAGTTTGAGTGACAGTAGCATTTCAGCACAGACTGGACTGGCGTCTTACCTTAGACCCGCCCTGAGTGAGCTGTCATCAGTCCGCCATTGTTTCACTGCTGGAGCAGTTGTAGACAAGAATGACTCCTAAGTGATTGAGGTTTTTCATTAAGACCCTAAAATATCATATCAACTTGTGGAAAATGGGCATCCAATGACCCCTTTAATACATTAATATTTATAAAATACTACTGACAAACAGCGTAATGTGTTCATTTTTAACTACAAGTTGTTATTTGAACAACCAGTAACTACACTGATGTTTCACTGTATGCTGTATGTGTTTGAATCACTAAAAAGAATTACTCAAAACTCATTTGTTCTGGAATCGGACTACACTGATCGCCCTGCATGTTTATGATTCACTAAAAAGAACCGGCTTATAAGAGTAATTTGTTCTGGAATCCGACTAAATTGGTAATGCTGTATGTTTGTGATTCACTTAAAAGAGCTGGCTCATAAAACGTTTTCATTTGAGAATTTGACTAAATTGGTCGCACTGTATGTTTATGATTTCCTAAAAAGTACCGGCTCATGAGTCATTTGTTTGGGAAATGGACTACACTGGTCGTGCTGTCTTTTTAAGGCATAGGCATTATCAAAAAGATGAAGTGAAGCAAAAATGTCCTAAAGATGGCCGCTGCCATCTTACGTTGATAATGTAATTTGGAGCCAGAGTCTGCACAGTAGTGATCGCGAAGTAGAGCTGTCCATACTCCTGCAGACTCATATAATTCATAAAAAAAGAATTATTAACTGCTAGCTAACAGTCACCTGTTTTTTTTCCCTGCAAGGCTAACGCTAAGCTTGTTGTCTTAGCTAGCTAGGCAATAACATTTATGTACTAATTCGCTTATAAAGCACAAATTTAACCAAACAAACTTCAGTGATCCCTCAGATCGATTAGTACAATTTACTGCAGAACAACTCGTTTTGTCGCTGTGAAACGAAACAGTTATGGAAAACTAAAAGTTAAAGTAGAGCTTTAATCTCCTCCTGAAGATTCCAAAAGTATCTCTCTATCTACTTCGCTCAGAGAAACTGTCAATCACAGCTGTCAATCATTATATCAGACCCCATGTTTATAGCATCAAGTAACTAAAACCCAAAGCTATTAGAAAAACAAACACTTGAACATACATCAGCGTAATAAGAACTACATAACATTTGAGAAACTAGCTTTGGGGAAAATGTATTTGAAGTGGTCATTTATTTATTTATTTATTTTAGTTGGGCTCGAGTCCCATCTGTTTACCTGAAGAGGGTGGTTTATGACCTATAGTGCAGCCAGCCACCAGGGGGCAATCAAAATGTTTTGGTTTCACTTTTCAGGATGTGTGGTTTATGATTTAATAAAGAGAACTGGTTCATAAGAGTCAGTGGTTTGGGAATCAGAAAATTTGTCACACTGTATGTTTATGATTCACTAAAAAGAATAAGTCATTGGACTTAACAAACACTGCAGATTAATTGTGATCACTGAAAAGTGTAGGATGGAACCAGTTCTGAATAAGAAACGATTCTCGGATTCCAACCCTAAAATAATAAATAAACTGCTTCATTGTAAGCTCCATGGTATAATATTACATGAAAGCAGTTATACTCGCACTTGAGCCATACTTGAAAAATGCAGCCCTGTGCTAATGTTTCCTGTTTGAGGCTATAGCTGCAATCTGTGTTCATGTTAGAGTGCTTTTTCAAACTCATGTTGACAGAAGAGATGAAGAGGATGAGAGATGTGTCATTGTTAGCATTCTCTCTGATGCTTTGGAGCAACCTGAGCTCATGGAGGTCATAGCAGAGGGTCATTTCATGTGCCACATGTGCTAACATGCTTGCTTTTTTCAGAGAGACTCTCTAATAGGCATAACGTTGTGAAGATATTACCCCTTTTACGCACAATTAGAGTGAACCTTCAGAGCAGTTGTGCCTTTGATTGCATCCAGCTGCGGTCTATTCACTTTTTAAA